GGGATCAAAACCCGCAACTATTTGTGAAAATCCTGGTGGAAATCAGCAAGGTGGCCAGTATTTAAATAACTACTTAACTGTAACTTCATAATGGTAATTATTTAAAATTATAAAACTCAGTAATTTTTTGATAAATAAACCTGCGTTTTTAAAGGTATAAATATTTCATCTAATGTATAAATTGCATCAGTTTTTCAAGTTTTTTATTTTTCAATTAATTTAACAGTCTTCTATCAACGTTCTTTCCGAAGCAATTCACAAATATGTTTTAATATTATTTTATTATTTTTAATATTAATTCCTGCGTGTCATGGTATTAATTCATGTGTAGATACTCAAAATTTTCCGCAAAACATCAGTGGAGGTTCTTTTAAAATTCATGAACTTTCCGCCTGACATTAATTGTCTATCCATGGTTCAGAAGAAAATGATTTAAATCTGTCAGCCAGAATGATTCAAAGTCTGTACATTTGCAGTGGGTCAAGGCCTACAGCGGCATTGCTGGTAATGAACGTGCTGATGCTGCTGCCAAACTGGGACATCACTTGCATCACTCTACCTTGTTCCCTCTACCTTGCTCGGATGCCCTTGCTATGCCTCGGTCATGCTTCCTTAGTTTTTGGGAGTTGGAACGGCTGTCTGCAGTGGCTATATTGATGGACGGGGCCGCCATCTTGCATCCATTTGTTCAGGGTTGTCTCCAGCCCCATGGATTGCTTGTCATTCTCGCCGTATTTAAGTGGTCCTAACTCGCCTTCGTCTGGGACATGTTGGAGTCCGCTCTTACCTTCATCGATTTGGGATGGCCGACACTCCCATGTGCCTGCATTGTGGGGTAGAAGAAACAGTTGAACACTTCCTCCTGATATGTGCCCTATATGACCGTGAGAGACAGGTGATGGTATGATTGGTATCAAGCATCAATGCCCTGAAAGTTCCTCTCATGTCTGTGCGTGTGCTTCTCGGCGGAGGCAATTACCCTAGATGAATTCAGCGCTCCATAGTGCGAGCAACTGCTACTTATCTCTCACAAACTGGTCGTCTAGCTACCTTATAGCTAGTGAAGAGCGCTGAATCTAACGACAATTTGCCTCCCATCGCTTCACATCATGAGACGGCCAACAACCTGGAGAAGGATCATCAGCTGAGAAAAATGGAAAGAAATTGAAGTGAGAAGATGAAGACATGCATTATATCTATTTCTCATTAACTTCAAGGCTTACGGTTATTTTAGCTTTTTATTGTATGGCGAAAATGTATGGCTCATCACGAAATTAAATTATTAACGCATCGGTTCACTATTCAATATTGGCTAGTATTTCAGTCAGTTTGACAAATTCTAGTAGTTTAAATGTTGTGTTTAGTTTCTAATGGTAAAGAAAGTTTTAATTTTTTAAATAAATAAATTGCTTAAGTAATCAGGCACCAAGTGAACTGTTTGAGTTTCAGTTCTTAAGGAAAATGGACAACGGAGTCGAAGTTGTTATTCCTGCCGCGCTGATTTAAACACAATTCCTTGCGCGTTGGCAGGCCAACTGGCGCCAGTATGTTGCAGATACAGGGAAGGGTCGCCATCTGTATACTCTCCGCAATGATTTACTCCCTGTCCCCTGGCTGCACACAAGATCTAGACGTGTCTCAGTTGTACTGGCTCGCTTTCGGCTGGGACATGTTGGTGTGAATGCATACATGCATCGCTTCTCCATGTCAGACTCCCCCTTGTGCACCACCTGCAACCAGGATGAAACAATCGAGCATCTTTTACTCGAGTGCAGTCGNCTTTGCTGCATCGTAATCCATCCAACGTACCGGAAACCTTACTTTTTTTCTAAATAGTTGGCCGAAGACTGAGAAATATATTAAATGCAAGAATTTCAATCAAAATGTGTCAGCAAGATCTTCTGAAGGCGAAAATTTGGCTACTGAAGCGTCACCAAAGATCTTGCAATATTCATCCACTCTCTGCACAGTGGGCAGCTGCTTGACAAGTTGACAGCTTGTGAAATGTGAATGAGACCTAAATGCCCATGGGCCATGAACCCATGATGAAGGATAATTTAAACCCGTTCAGGCTGTTTCTATGACTATTTCCCTATTTCTTATGTGAAAAATAGGAAAATTGCCTTTTTTCATTTTTATCCAAGATTGATTTTTAAAAATCACCTGAAATTATTGAATGTTAGGTTAAATTGTTTTTACCTGAAATTCTAGATTAAAACCATTGTTTTTCACCTGTAAAATAACTAAAATTCTCTAGAAAATAGGTAGGTATTGTTTTACAGGTGATTTTTGAAAATTGCAAATGAAAACCAGCATTTTTTCTTCTTTCATACTGAAAAATGCAGAAAATGGCATAGTAATTTTCAGAGTTGGACAAACAAATTCATGTTTTTTTTGTCTGATTAATGGATGGAATAACTGTGGATTTAGCCAAATTGTTTGGCTAGAAAATATCTTTTAAAATTTTTTTTCAAAGGATTAGCATTAGGCATGGAATATTTTTTTTTTACTTTGCAAGCCGCGACTGAATTTTTTGAGCTTGGTTTTATGCCAGGGTGCAGAGGGTGGATGCAGCATTGCCAATATATGGGTTTTTAAGCCCTAAACGTCGCCGGGTAATTTTTAATGTAAAGCCATTTACGCTGAGTAATGAAAAACTATTTACAAGGTTGCATGCACGTGTTACCCAAAATAACTAATTTTACCCTAAAAACAGTTTGTTTGTACAGCAAGTGTCAACTGAACATGTGATAATGCAGTCTGACCGCTCTAATGTGACCGCAACTACGTAATCGTAAGCTTGATGTTTACATTTTTTTTGGTGGGAACTCATCGCAACTGATTTCCAGACAAGCTTCACTGCATCTGGTCCCAGATCCATCCAACATACCGGAAACCTTATTTTTTAAATAGTTGGCCGAAGACTGACAAATATATTAAGTGAAAGAATTTCAATCCAAATGTGTCGGCAAGATCTTCTGAAGGCGTGAAATTTGCTACTGAAGTGTCGCCAAAGATCTTGCAATATTCATCCACTCTCTGCACTGTGGGTTTTATGGATTTATTAGCCATGATTCCATTTTTTGAGCCATGATTCTGACATTTGAGTGACAATATATTTATGAGCTCAATCATATGATTATGACATTTGAGCCACAAGATTTCATAACTACTGGAATTATATGATATTAGAGCTGCAATATTTCAGAAAAAATATGACTTTTCTAGCCCTGCTTAGCATATTTTCAATAATTTTGGAATTTTGCAGCAGCTTGATCATGCATTTTTGTATTTATTTGGAAGTAGTTGCTGTTCCACCTGCAAGCCAATGAAACTTGTCTGCTGCTGAGGAAGAGACCCAAGAAAGCCATCAACACTGCCATATCCAGATGTGACAGTTGGCCCACAGGAGGTCATCTAGACATCTACACATCTCAAACAAAGCTAACAACAACAACTGATTTAAACACGAATGACTCTAAATGCAAGTTCGAAGTTTGTACCTATTAAATTGTTCTTCCTATTATCTAATTCTAAAGAGAAGTTGAATATGTGTGTGCTATAGGAATAGGAGTAACTTACATAATTATTTTAAAGTATGAATTTCCATACTACGTAACTCATTTACTATATACTGATAACTTGATAAGTGATATAATCAAGATAAGGCCTAGGTGGAAGACAAAGAGAATTCCGTAAATTTTTTGACATTTTAACCCTAAGTTTCCGTGTAGGTATATACACAAATATAGTTTATGCTAATGCATTTAGCATATTTATGAGCTAAATCAGGTGGGTCGCCTCCAATAAATTGAATAAAATAATGTTCTGAAATGACTTGGGTAAGAAATTTATAGCCGAGTGAAAAAAAATTGAAATAATTTTGTGTGTACCTAAATCAAGAGAAATATTCAATCATCTGGGCTCTGGCAATACTGTGCCAGAGGCAGAGAAGTAAAAAATGGCCAAAATACATTAAATATAGGCTCTAAAGCCATAACATTACAATTCAAGATATTAAACAATTTCATCTAAATTTCACTTATTTCTTACAACGGAAGTTACAATCTTAAGGTCTTACCTATTATCAATCATGAAAATCAAAAATAAAAGTCAAATATGGCATTGCATTGATCACAAAAATAGGGCATCACTTAGCAGCTGCCCAGTGCCCACTATGCAGAGGGTGGTTGCAGCGTCGCCAATATATGGATCTTTAAGCCCAAGGCGTCGCCGGCCATTTTAAAGATGCGTCGCCCGGTAATTTTTAATGAAAAGCCATTTACGCTGAGTAANGTGACAATATATTTATGAGCTCAATCATATGATTATGACATTTGAGCCACAAGATTTCATAACTACTGGAATTATATGATATTAGAGCTGCAATATTTCAGAAAAAATATGACTTTTCTAGCCCTGCTTAGCATATTTTCAATAATTTTGGAATTTTGCAGCAGCTTGATCATGCATTTTGTATTTCCAATTGAAAAACAATTAGAATTCCTGATCTACTACAAGATTATATTAGTTATCTATATGTGACAATGCAAGTATTAATCTATTTATGTCCTAAATATCCATAGATCTCAAAAAAACAACAAAAAAAATTCTGCTATGCTCTGCAGATGTTCATCTATGCTTATTTGTAGAAAATTGTTATTTTTTATTGTTTATTTATAGAATATCATTATTTGTTATTGTTCATTGCTAGAATATTATTATTTGTTATTGTTTATTTGTAGAATATTATTGTTTGTTATTGTTTATTTGCAGAATTTTATTATTTGTTATTGTTTATTTGTACAATATTATTATTTGTTATTGTGTATTTATGGAATATCAATATTTGTTATTGTTTATTTATAGAATATTATGATTTTTTATTGGTTGTTTGTAGAATATTATTATTTGTAAAGTGTTATTATTTTTTGTTGTTTTTTTGAAAAGAAGTATTAAAATGCATTCTTTCCACAGAAATACAAATGGCCAGCACTATCATGGAGCTGTGTTGCCTAGATCTCACGGTGCAGCTCCTGCCAGGGCAGATTGATGCCGGAGACTCCGTGGCGCAGAACAGGAAACTGACGTTCACCATCACCCTCACCATTGCTCCTAACCTGCCTCAGGTGGATGTTTCATTTTTTGTTATAATGTCACCATCACTCTCATCACCATCACCCTCACCATTGCTCCTAACCTGCCTCAGGTGAACTTTTCACTAGGTATTGTTATAATGTCACCATCACCATCACTCTCATCACCATCACTTTCATCACCATCACCATCACTCTCATCACCATCACCATCACTCTCATCACCATCACTCTCATCACCATCACCACCATCCAGCCTAACCTGCCCCAGGTGGATTGTTCACTATTGTTATGATGTCACCATCACCCTCACCATCTCGCTGTGTATTTAATAAAAAATTTTTTCAAATTCTAATTAACATTAATCTAAATCTATAGATTACCTGACATAACTTTTAAATTTGAATTTGCTCTTATAGATATATTCAATAGTTATCACTTGATTAACTCTAAAGAACATACTAAATATCTTAAATTAATATTAAGTATGCTAAAAATATTAAATGCCACATCTTAAATATATTTATATTTACCTAAACTTCAATATATATAAATTATTCAGCAATATTCACTTCCATGTAGGAATTTTAATATCATTTTGAAGCAGTTTACATAATTTTTATATTAAATTAATTAGTGGTTGATTGGAATAAAACAATTAATAGTTAATTTAATAACTTTTGTGCAGGTAAAAACATGTATCATGATTTGGACAACATGATCCACTAATATTTCTGCTAATTTCCCACTAATATTAGTATATCCCACTAATATTATTTGCCACTAAAATTATTTGCCACTAATATTATTTGCCACTAATATTCTAATATTCACGTTTGTGTTGCCGCAGACTCTGTGTGTGCGTATCACGGACGCAGACGACCCGCAGGTGCTGCTCACGTCCTGCGTCTCCGCTGCCGACTACCCGGGCCTCAAGGCAGCCCAGGTTGTATTGTTTGGCTTTGTATTCTATACAATCCTGTATATACTATCTGCAATATTTTAGATTCACATTCTATAGAATCTCTGTATATTTTGTAAATTTTGGTTTTGTATTCTGTACAATTTCTGTATATACCCGTACTGTCTCTGTTATTTTAGCTTTGAATTCTATACAATCTGTAGTACCTTGGCTTTGTGTTGGCCTGTGTAACGGGTATGATATTTCACATATGTGAAAAATATATTTTAATTTGTAGTATGTATTTTATTTCAATGTAGCATTTAATTTAATGAATATTTAATGAATTTCTAACAATAAATTGCATGTAAATTACAAAAATTAAACTGAAAAAATAGTTTCTCTGAACTTAACTCATGTTCTCATTAAAAAAAACACTTGCACAAAAATATCAACAAATATTCACTATGAACTAAAAACATTACTAATAATTTTAACTTGAATATTAACTAGAGGATAAACGCTGAAAAAATATGGAAGAAAAACTATCTTTGCCATCCCCCACAATCATCGTAATATTGATTAAAGTAATATTGATGAAGACCTTGGAGATATTTTCTTGATAATAATGATGGATTGATAGTAATGATGCTAATGATATTAATGCTGAGGATGTGGTTATGGATCTTCTGTGATGTAATTTGCCTTAATGATGGATAATCACTGTAGATGTGGATGTTATTTATTGATAGATGTTATTTATAGCAATGATACAATGATTGTAATGATAGTGATGTTAGTGATTGAAGTTGTCAGGGTTATGATAGTAGGATGGTGATTATGCTTATGATATCACTGATGGCAATGATAGTGATTATACTAATTGAAATAATGATCTTAATGATAATATGATGATGATTCTAGTATGTAATGATGATAACAATGATTGTGGTGCAGGGTTTGCTGGTAGACTTCCAGTCGTTCCCGCAGCATCTCATCCAACTGCTGCAGTCCTGCCAGCAGCAACATGGACAACTGCAACCCAGGTAGTTCTTTGAGTGGTGCTTGTACTTGTGATGTATATCAAGTTATGGACAACTGCAACCCTGGTAGTTCTTTGAGTGCTGCTTGTACTTGTGATGTATATCAAGTTATGGACAACTGCAACCCTGGTAGTTCTTTGAGTGCTACTTGTACTTGTGATGTATATCAAGTTATGGACAACTGCAACCCTGGTAGTTCTTTGAGTGCTACTTGTACTTGTGATGTATATCAAGTTATGGACAACTGCAACCCTGGTAGTTCTTTGAGTGTTGCTTGTACTTGTGATGTATATCAAGTTATTGTTTTTTAAGATGTGAATATTTAATTATTTTGATAATTGAATAGAATTTTGTTTTAAAATCACATTAAAAATATATTGGGGATACTTATAATAAATATCAAGACATAATTTTTTAAGACTTGATATTTAATTATTTTGATAATTGAATAGAATACATAGAATATACCTATAGAATTTACAGAATATTCCTATAGAATATATGAAATACTGGTATATAGAATATACCTATAGAATATACAGAATACATAGAATATATACAAATATACCTATAGAATATATAGAATACATAGAATATACCTATAGAATATACAGAATACATAGAATATATACAAATATACCTATAGACAATACAGAACACATATAATATCTAGGCACTCCCCCGCAGGATGGGTGTGGTGCTGAGTGGGTGTGGGGCGGTGCCGGGGCTGCTGGGGGAGACAGCGGGGCCCCCTTCACAGTCTGGTGGGTGTAATGCTAAATATTATTATTTATTACCTTTAAATTATTATTATTGGCATTTATGAACTTTACATAATTAATTTTGTCATTTATTAACTAAATAATATAAATTTAATAAATTAATTTAATAATATCTAAATAAAATTATTGAAATGAGATGAAAATTTATTATTTAATAAAAGTGGCATGTGTAAAATTAAAATAATTATTATTGCATTTATAAACTTTAAATAGTATTATTTATAGGCACTGTTAGACCAAAAATTGGGTTATGAATATTTAGACATATTTAAATAAAATATAGATGAACAATTTCTACAATATATATAAATATATATTATACACAACATGACTTGATATAAAATGTATATGAAATATTTCTACAATATATATTGATATATATTATACATAATATGACAATATTTCTATACCGGTAATATATAGTAATATATATTAAGGTTATGAAAAATATTTTTAAATAAAATGTACCTATATGAAATATTTCTACAATATATATTAATATATATTATACACTGAAATATATCTACAATATATATGAATATATATTATAGAGAATATGACGTGAAATAAAGATGGTGGTGATGGTGGCAGGTGGTGTGGTGATGCAGGTGGTGGAGCACAACAGCTTCCGGCGGCTATGCCATCTGGCCATGGCTGTGGCACCGGCCGCCACAGCCACAAAACTGCGCCATCTCGCCGACTGCCTCAGCCAGCTGCAGGTGTGTGGCATGTGTGGCGTCTAGCCAGCTGCAGGTGTGGCATGTGTGGCTAGCCTGGCCAAAATGTGGCATGTCTATGCCACATTTTGGCCGGCTGCAGGTGTGGCATGTGTGGCGTCTAGCCAGCTGCAGGTGTGGCATGTGTGGCTAGCCTGGCCAAAATGTGGCATGTCCATGCCACATTTTGGCCAGCTGCCTGTTTGGCATGTGTGGCGTCTAGCCAGCTGCAGGTGTGGCATGTGTGGCGTCTAGCCAGGTGTGTGGCATGTGTGGCTAGCCTGGCCAAAATGTGGCATGTGTGGCGTCTAGCCAGGTGTGTGGCATGTGTGGCTAGCCTGGCCAAAATGTGGCATGTGTGGCGTCTGTCTCTTATACACATCTAGATGTGTATAAGAGACAGGGATTGGCTGTTTTGATGGATTGGCTGTTGATGGATTGGCTGTTTTGATGGATTGGCTGTTGATGGATTGGCTGTTTTGATGGATTGGCTGTTGATGGCGGCTGTTGGACGGGTTGAATGGTGTCGTGGTAGCGAGCGTGCAGCGTTTCTTTTCTTGGACGAGGTGGTTGGTTGAGGGTAGTGATGCGGTGGCAAGGGTTGTTGATGTCGTTGCTCTTTACGAGGAATTGTGCTGCCAGTAGATCGGTGTGCTGTTGTACTGTTAGCATTCGGCATTCTGAGTGGAGGTGTGGTTCTGAGGTGATGTTGTGGCATGTAATTGTGCGTGTTTTGTGTGTAATTGTGCGTGTGTTTTGTTCTGTTTGGAGGCGATTGAGATTTGACTTGGATGTGACAGGTATCCAGGCTGGGCAGGCATAATTGATTATTGGGCGGCCAATTGCTTTGTAGGTTTGGAGGAGCGTTTCTTTATCTTGTCCGTATGTGGTTCCAGAGAAAGCTTTGAGGATATTGTTACGTTTCGAAGCTTTGAAGGCGATGTTTTTATGGTGGGCAGTGAAAGTGAACATCGTGTCGAAGGTGAGGCCGAGGATTTTCGGGTTGTGGTTGAGCGGCAGTACCTGGTTGTTGATTTCCACTTGTGGGTGGTGATTGTATTGAGCGGTGTGAGGAGTGATGAGCGTGACTGTTGACTTGGTGGCTGAAATTTCGAGATTGCGTTGGGTAAAGAAGGGGGTTAGGGCCTATACCTTCAAAAAAGTTAAGAGATCGTAAGTTCATCAGCCAATCATTGGCGGCCTTTCAAGCAAAATCCACCAATCATAGACAAGAAAATAGAGCGTAAGTACTTACGTTCACTTAGCAAGTTTTGAAAGTATCGCCCCAGCTCTGGCAGATAGTTATTGAGTTGTTCGGTAAGTCGTACGGTGTCGCGTCCAGTTGTGTAGATGGTGAAGTCGTCTGCGTAGGAGATGATTTTGATGTTGGGCGGGGGTGGCGGGGCTTTGGAAACGTAGTGGTTGAAGAGCGACGGGGACAGCACGGATGCCTGTGGTACCCCAGTGTGAATGATTCGTTGTTTCGATGTTTCATTGCGGAATTCGGTGTAGGCTTAGCGCCCATGTAGATAGTTAGTGATCCAGCGTATGATTAAACGGGGCAGGATGGAATCGATAAGGTCGTTGACGAGTGTTCCATGGTTGACGGTATCGAAGGCTTTGCTGAGGTCCAAGGAAGTAATTATAGTGCGGTGGGCAGGTTTCTTTTGGTTGAGTCCATTGGTGATGTCGTTTGTCAGGAGAACGAGAGCCGAGGTGGTAGAGTGTCCGGGTCTGAAACCGTGTTGGTGCCCGGCGAGTGGAAGGTGTTCGTTGATGATAGGTAGGAGGCATTTTTCGAGAACTTTGACGGCTGGACAGAGGAGAGAGATCGGTCGGTACTAGAAGGAGGTTTGGTCTTCTGGTTTACCGGGTTTGAGTAGGGGGATCACTTTAGCGGTTTTGTAGATATCGGGTATTCGGCAGGCTCTGAGCGACTCGTTGAATAGTTTAGTCAGGTAGGTGGTTCCATGAGGTCCGAGGTGTTTTAGGTGAAGGATTGTAAGGTGGTCGGGTCCAATGGCTTTGGAAGGACGAGAGTTTTTATAGCGTTGTGGATGAAGTCTGCACTGTTAGAAAAATTACCGTTAACGGTATTACCGGCGTTTCAGTGGCCGGTCGGCACGTGAAAAGAAACATCGTTTCGCCGTTTTTATTCCAATTTAACACCAGAAATCCATAAAACATTTGATAAAAACGGCGAAACAGTTTATTTTCACGGAACGACCGACCACTAGGATGCCGGTGGGACCGTTTTTTCTAACAGTGTGTGGTCAACGTGAGGCAGTCTGTCAAGTCGAGGCGCTTGGCTGAACGTTTTGTTATCCGGTCAAGTTTGTTCTTGGTGTGTCGCGCGGAGATGGTGAAGAGTTTGTTGAATTTGTTGGCCATTTTCTTGTTGTTGTTGAGGGGCTTTTCATTGAAGGTGATCGCAACGTTAGGGTAAAGCTTGGGGTTTCCGTTGAGGGCTTTTATGGTTGTGCACAGGCGTTTGACGTTGGTGTGGTGGTTGAAGGTGTCAAGGTATTTTTTCCAACGGGTGGTTTTGAGGTTGTTGGGGAGGCGGTTGAAGGTGTCAAGGTATTCTTTCCAGCGGGTGGTTTTGAGGTTGTTGGTGAGGTGGTTGAAGGTGTCAAGGTATTCTTTCCAGCGGGTGGTTTTGAGGTTGTTGGTGAGGCGGTTGAAGGTGTCAAGGTATTTTTTCCAACGGGTGGTTTTGAGGTTGTTGGGGAGGCGGTTGAAGGTGTCAAGGTATTCTTTCCATCGGGTGGTTTTGAGGTTGTTGGGGAGGCGGTTAATTTGGGTCTTGATTGTTCCTGGCTTGAACCAAACCTCAGCAAATGACGTATATTTTACGACATGTTTCATTTCCTACATGTTCTATTAATGTTTGCAATGTTTGGGGAAGAGGGGTTTGTTGAGTGCAGCGTGTCTCGTTGTTTTATGACAAGCCGGTTTTTTTTTTTATTTCTTTTGACAAGCCGGGTTTTTTTATTTCTTTTGACAAGCCGTTTTTTTTTATTTCTTTTGACAAGCCGGGTTTTTTTTTCCGTTTATTTTAATAATCAATAAAATAATCAATGTCTTACATCGGTTGTGAACTTTTACATTGAAGAAGTCCAATGAATTTTAATTGAACTTTTTTATTGTTTTAAGGAATAAAATTAACAAATTTTTTTGTTGAATAAACATCTGACTTATACTCGCATGCCTGTGAGGAATTATACGCACCACGTTATTAATTTCCGCCGTTAAGAGCTTTTGTGCTTGAGCCGGAAGGCGTAAAAGTTTTCTGCACACACACACACAGGGGAATTGGAGGAGTGACTTGAAAGGAACATTTACAGAACTAATTTCGCTGTTGAGCGATTATGCAAATCGGGACGTTGTGCTGCGGCCTTCAAGACCAAGAGGCGTAATCACACTCCAAGCTGCAGATCCTAAATAATTATATTAATAAGTAATTGATGATAATACTACTTAAAAAGTCCGCGTAGTTAGCGTTATATTAACAACTCGATTTTCATTTGCTCAAACACATTGTTTTTTGGCATTACTTCGACCGTTGCGCATAGAGGATATTAACTAATAAGTTATTTGCTTATTTTCAGATCACTACATGTGATTATGTTTCGCACTTTAACGTTTAGACAGCGCGATATTTAACATTTAAATCACAGAGAAAATTTTTCGCAAAATTATTTCTGAATCGCAATTTTTAATTCAAAATAAATTTTCTAGTTGCACGTTAAAATCTTCATGCATGTCTTAATTAAGCAAGCAACAAGCATGCATGCGTTTCTAAATTCAAGCAATCAATAAATTCATATTGTTTTTATGTGCATCGTATCTTCATTATCTGTTCCTATTCTACTCACGAGCATCCTGTTTGCAATAGTTATTCATCTTGGTAATCTTGGTAATCTTGGTACTTGTTTGGGACATAGCAGTCACAGGCTACGATGGATCGCCGCCTCTAATTATCGTTCATCCGCCCTAATTTGGGCCACCTGATGCACGATGCTGTTGCTTGCTTCTCGCCACTGGTAGTGTTGCAGGGGAGGTTGATCTGGGATTGTGCCCAGGAAAACGTCCAGTTGTCTCTTGAAGGTCTCCTCTCTTAGATCCTTTGGTAGGACGTTAAACAGCCTTGGCCCTGCCACGGAAAGTGATCCTTCCCGCAGGGATTGAAATCTGACTGCGGATCTGTTACGTAATCCACGGAAAGTGATCCTTCCCGCAGGGATTGAAGTCTGACTGCGGATCTGTTACGTAATGGGGGGATCTTGCACAGTCTCCCCCTTCTCTCGTTGTGATATGTCTCAATCCTGAAGGTCTCGCTCTCGAAGTTTGGCACCATTCCGGCTATCATTTTCCATGTGTACAGGATGAAATACCTCTCCCAACTCCTCTGCAGTGAGTACAGACCCAAGCGCCTCCACCTCTCCCAGTAGTTCAACTATTCCATCCCTCTGATCCTGGAAGTGAAGGTTCGCTGGACACCTTCCAGTTGCCGCACTGCGCCAAGTGTGAACGGGGTCCAGAGCTGGCAGCAGTATTCGAGAATTTGTATTACAAGGGCTCCAAAGAGTGTGATCATCGGTTCCGCTTCTCTTGTTCTGAACGTCCGCCAGATCCACCCCATCTGTCGCCTACCTCTTGCGTTTATTGCAGTTACGTGATCACCAAAATTGACCTGAGTATTCATCAACACTCCTAGATCACGAACAAGTTGTTTCTCTTCGATTTCCGAGTTGTCAGGTGCTAGGTAGCGGTGCTCCATACCCGCTCTTCCGCTACCTCTGTATCTCAGAACCTCAGACTTGGTCCCGTTGAACTGCATGTTGTTCACTTGGGCATATATTGCAGAGAGGTCTTCTTGCAACCTCTCGCAGTTCCTCCTGTCCGTTATGGTCATTAGTATCCTGGTGTCGTCTGCGAATGACGATGCAGTGGCGTGGTTCACAGCCACATCTATGTCGGCGATGTGGATGAGGAAAAGGATTGGGTCGAGTACCGCTCCCTGT